CTCCACAGAATTTGTAATTCATTTATGAGGCAAACCACGTCAAAAAATTGTAATAATAAATAGTTGATAAAAAAAATCAAACCACTTAACAGATAAATATTTATTAACAATCAACAATGGATATTCTTCCGCAGCGTTGACAAATCACATAATTATTCAGGTACAAAAAACCCTTCCAAGTATTTTAATAATATTTTTTTTATGTAATAGGACAGTGTAATAATTTACGTATGACTAGATGCTGGTTTCTCCGTTGTTCTTTCTGAAATACAGATATGAAACATATTAGCCTATTGAGAAATGTATATGTGACCATGGGATATGACAGAAAGGTCTTAAGGATGATTCACGCTACAACGTGTCGCCACCGGGCCGTGCCCCGGCCGGGGCACGTCCACCGTGCGCTGGCCGGGCCAGTCATTCATGTTACACCGGGCTGTTTGCACGACCGTGGCTTATGCACGACTCTGTGTTATGTGGTTTTTGTCAGCTAGTGATTTCATCTGTCGATAGACTTCACGCTTACATAAATATGCAATTTTCACAATTTGAATTGGCAGCTATTGCAATTGCCATCGATGATGAAGTATTGGAAAAACGAAGCGAAACTACTAAAAGAAGATGGGGTGTACATCCAACCTGGAGAAAGCAAGAAGCAGAAGGAGAATTTGCTTTACTTTACAAAGAATTAATAGATGATGAGAGCAAGTTTTATGGTTATTTTAGAATGTCTAAAGAATGCTTTACTTTTTTACTTGAAAAAGTAAAACCAGACCTAACCAAAAAAATTACAAGATTTCAAAAGCCTATATCTCCCATCGAACGATTAGCCGTCTGCATCAGGTAAATAATAAATTGATATGCACTAAATCACATAGTATTTAAAAATGTAGTATTACAAATTGACCCGTCTCACAACCATCTATCACAGCTGGTTGTAAGATGGGTCGATTTTTTCTAAATACTTCATTTTCAATTTTTCAATAATCAAAATTGCATTGTGAATGAAAAAAAGTAAAAATTTAAATAATTCGCATAGTATTTATTCATTTCATTAGTCTGCCGTGAACTCTGAAAATAAAGTAGACAAATTATTAGATTCCAAAGGCGTAAGTTCCGCAGGCGAAGGTTCCGAAGGCGTAGGTTCCGCGTTGATTCCGGTGTTGGCGTTGGTGTAGTCATCGGAACCGGTGCATACACCGACCTTGAATTAGTAGACGACGCTGACGTTGTTCCACTCATTGGAGATGTGTTAGAAGAAGGCTCTGATGACAATTGCTCCCACTCCAAATCTTGTACTACTGCAAATATTCTTCCTTTTGCAAGATGCTGATAGTAAGGGGAAAAAGATTTTATGGTGGCTGCCAAACCGTTGAAGAAAGCATCAATAGGATGAATGTCTTGTGTGTTGGACTTTTCTTTATTTTTTAGAATGTATTCCATTAATGCGCTTGACGCAGAGGACTGGGATTGTGGCACTATACGACGGCGATTGTGTGCAGTTGCAACGGTTGCATTGCGATTGCGGTTGCCGGAACGAGTGAATTGTGCAGTTGACGGGGGATATGGATTCGGATCAGCAGGTGGCGTAAAATTTGGTTCACTAATAGCTGGTGAGCGATCTTCCTGCTGCTGCTGTTCATCGGTGTTAATTGTTTCGTTGGGCGTAGTAACTGGCGAAGTAACCGTTTCGTTTTGCGTCTCTTCATTCTCAGACTCGATACTTGTTATTGTATTTCGATCCTGTATATGAGGCAGTAAAAAATTCAAGCTCTCTTCATATTTATATTTTTTTATTGCCACAGCACCCTGTCCACTCTTGGTTTTACGTTTGTTTCTATGTTTTTTGAACTGGTCCCGTATGTTTGCCCACCTTATCTTACATACATTATCTGCAAAAAGATAGTATAGAATGAACAAGTAATTTTCTTTACAACCTGTATAAATGGTACTGTTAATACGTAATAGCTCACTGTAGTACACAGATACCGCGAAATTATACCATTATTATTTTTTCAGGTTCCTGGCTACTGGGGATTCGTTTAAAACTATTTCGTACAGTTTTCGATTGGGGCATTCAACTGTGACCGAAATTGTACATAGCACATGTCGATCTATCGTTAAAAGATTTAAGAAAGACGTTATACCAGAACCAACAGAAGAAATGTGGCGTAAAATTGCCGAAGATTTTGAAAAGCTTAGAGGTTTTCCAAATTGTATAGGCGCATTGGATGGAAAACATTTTGTTATTGAAGCCCCAGCCAATAGTGGTTCTATATATTTTAATTATAAACACACATTCTCAATTGTTTTATTGGCGTTAGTGGACGCATGCTACAAATTTATTGCAGTTGATGTTGGCGCTTACGGACGAAACAGTGATGGTAGCATTTTTGCACAATGTAATCTTGGAAAACGTTTAGAAAATGGGACGCTTCATGTACCTATTGGTAAAAATTTACCCTGTTCCTCTACGTTTGCACCATATGTAATAGTTGGTGATGAAGCGTTTCCTTTGAAAACATACCTAATGCGACCGTATCCAGGACACCAAGCAACAGGTGACGCTAATAAAACGAATTTCTGTCATAGACTGTCTTTGGCCCGGTGACTAGTCGAAAATGCCTTTGGTATTTTGACACAAAGATTTAGAATATTTCAAAGAAGAATGAAACTTGCTCCAGCAAATGTTGATTACATTATTCTATCTACATGCGTACTGCATAATTTTTATGCGAACAAAAAGATTACACAGGGCTTATCAATCATAGTGCACAAAATGCGCCACCACATTTATTAAATTCATTGAGCGTTCAACCAGGAAGACCGGCTAATGATGCATTTGCGGTAAGAGAAACGTTTAAAGAATATTTAGCGTCAACAGCGGGACGTAATTTTATAGGACAACAGTATCAAGAATAAATACATACTTACACTATAATATACTTCTTATAATTTACCTAACATATTCTAAAATACCTACAAAAAACCGATAATCCCACTCACATGTACTTACATGTTGTCGTAAAGTAATTAGTGACACTTGAATAACTATTATAAATGTAAATTGAAATAAAAGTTACAACTTACCAGATTGTTTTATTTCGTCCGAAATGGTTTCCAAATAATATTTTTGTATTTGTTATCTAAATACTTAGGATGGCTCATATCGTAAATCACAGGGTACTTGCGCACACATTCTAATAATTTTTCATCGTCCATTTTGCTGTTGAGCTGCTCACTTCACTAAGATTTGATGTTGACTGCTCTCCGGACGCCCGGGCGCATATGTTCATGTTACAACGTGTCGGGGCCGGACCGTGCCGGAGCCGGGAAACAATACCCACCGACATTTCAACGCCGTGCCCCGGCCGAGTCCCGGCGGCGTACGGCCGGGGCACGGCCGGGCCACGGTCAGGCATGAATCACTTCATACAAAAAGTACACCATAATGTTTGACCGTGCCCCGACCGGGGCACGGCCCGGCCGCGCCACGTTGTAGCGTGAATCATCCATTACGGTTTCGTTTAAGACAGACGGCGGTTAAGCAATCACTTTAAGTCAGACGTAAAATAATCAGGCCACTGACAGAAAACAAAATGAAAAGCGTCAGATATCTGATACCAAGATCACCAATCCCCTTTAAAATTCTATCATATTATGGCAAATATTCATACACAGAATCGATGGCGATATAACCGTCTTGCTTACGACAGGCGTTATAATATAATGATCTCCGTACCGAATTCCGGTCAAGGCGGCCAATGTCGATAAAGTCTAGTACGGGAAAAGATCATAGGGTATGCGTTTGTGCGTAAACACTGTTGCACTTTTTATCGCTTCACTCTCATAGTCTGATGGGGTGGTACGTATACTTGAGCAAAAGAAGATTAGACGCAGGACCAACTTTACGTGCTTATACGAGGGTGAAAAATCGTCAATTTTCCGAATCCAAGCTGTTACTACCACATTTCTTCACAAAAACAACTGATTAAATAAATTTTGTCTGAGTATTAAAAATCGACCTTTAATTTTGACCCTTGTTACAGTTGTATTATGGACTTAAACCTTATGAGTCGGTTTAATCGAGAAAGGACGACCCTCACAATATCTGGTATATTGTGAAGGCGGGAAATAACTACAAAAATACAACAGCACTATGTGTTGTATTTTATATCGTGAGTGACACGAACCGGATATCCTTTTACGGGCAACGAGATATTCTATCTCTTGTATAAAAATGTTTATGCACATTAATAATTCTAAGAATTCACATCTACATTAAATAAATTCTGTAAATATAAATTCTGTATAATTCTGAGGTAAATATGAATTTACCAGACCGCCGTAAATTTCAAGGTACGCAGTCAACCTGGATTTGATCTCCACTTGATTTATCACTTGCTCGGCGACGAAGTAAAACATCGTAAGGAAAGCTGAATTTTTGAGAAATAAAAAAATATATTTTGAGAACATGTTATGAGTACACAAACTCGAATGAGGCCAGTGTGTGTGTCCAGAAGTGGTACGTATATAGACTGTAAAAATTTTATCACTGAACCTTGACCTGAACCGGAATTCAAATCGGAGACCACATGATTCGTACTTGCAAATACAACACCAATGAGGCAGTCAACCATCCCGCGGTGTGATTGCTCCATGCCGGATGTGCGGTTCACACAGCACTCGGTTCGCAGAGCACTCCTCTCCCTGAACGTCCACAAGTTGAATGGATCTGACGGAATCCCCCAAGTGTGCTGAGGACGTGTGCTGCGGAGTTGGCACCGATTCTAACGCGTCTTTTCCGGTACTCCTACTCCGCATTCAAGCTAGACTATGGATGTCAAGGAGGCAAGAAAGATGTATCAAGATCATGACAAATGGAAGTCCGTAGTCTCTGCCTACCCCTTTCGATAACAAGCGTGGGCGTTCATGATTATGATTATTTTTTTTCTATCTATTTAATCGTACCTTGGTATATCTTTTGAAATAAACATATACTAACCAGAGTCGTTTTCTTCTGGTACATTCCATGGCTGTTGGTTTGACGTAGTAAACAGAACGTAGCATAAATTGGTGCAGAAATAGACACCTGAAGCTAAGAAGAAAACTTTTCGCCATTCCAATGGATCGCTCTGTAATATGCACGTCAGTTAAAGTCATAGTAAATTATTTTTCTAACATATTACTATGCTTTTCATAAATGTAAAGTTAGTAAAACTGTCATCCTATCACGGCCAGTTGGCGATACATTTCTGTAGTTCTTGCGGCGATCTTGTAACTTTCAGAATGAAAGCAGATTAAATAATTATTGAATAATATAAAAAGAAGATATTATATTTATATTATATTTATTATATTATTTATCATAGAACACACGCAAATTAGCAGCACAACGCTGCTGTATTTCGTATGGTGGGTGTAGAAAACCGACGACCTTTGTTACTGATAACGAGGCGTTCCATTTAAGTCCTCAGGGGTGACACTGCATTTTGATTCTTAATCAAGGATAGATGTAAAGGGCCACAGCATCCACTTACCGTCACGTGGACTGTGTGCTCGTTTATCAGCATTATTCTATAAAAAATAACGAAAAAGTGACGAGAAGCAGTGCTTGTTAAACATCCAAGCTAATACATTTTATTTTAAATTTAATACACTAAACCTATATAAATAAAAATGTGTTTATTAATTTATTAACTTCATTCATTATTATTTTGGCGATTTTTAAAATATAATCATATATTTGCAATTAATGTGCCGTGTAGTGGGAGCTTAAAAATATCCACTACTTCGTTATCACCCCGTGGTTATCGTGAGTGACAACAGATAAATAAATATGACATAGGCAGTAGCATCTTCCTGATATCAACTGAAAATGATAAAAACTGCGGTTACTAACCAAGCATGGCAAATATAGCAAAACAAAGTGCAAAAATATGGCGGGTAATTTACAGGTCAAATCATGAAATGGCGGCGTATCATGAAATGCTCATCGGACGACGACAAATCAATGCCTTCAGTATTTCACAAGCCATGGAGCATTTGCAAATTGATAACGTCGTTTGTATAATGACGAATCATACAATCTGCCGACGATATAAACATATCAATAATTTATTTCAATAAACAATTGACAACAATTATACTATTGCAATAAATTATTTTGAAAAAATAAATAATATGGCTGTAGTTTGACGGCGATATGGATGAAAACTAAAAATATGTTCACATTACCTCATCCTGTATAATTAAACCGCAAACTAACGGTGCAATTAAAGATGTGATGTTGGAAAAGAAATTCGAGATAGCCATCAACGACGAACTGAAGTTTGGCGCCAGATCGATTAGTGTTAACTGAAATGTAAAACACAAAAAAATTTTTATTAACACAAATAAAGGTAGATAAATTATAATATATAACGCAAAGATAATAAAATTGAAATAAATTGGTCTTATTTCTCTAATATCATAATCTACATAATATGGTCTTATCATATCAACTAAGCTGGAGTGTATAATTCTGGAGTGCAGTGTGTGTGATTATGTGGTCCGCACGCTAAGCATATCTGTGTCGTGAGGGCTTGCTATGAATTACTTTTCACACATTTCTTCCATTAATTGACACTGGATCGATATGCGATTCGTTGGTAATGTACGAGCTTCTAATAAAAATAAATATACAATTTCAATAAAAGGTAAGCTTAAAAATATAACTATCCTAATAAAATAAAGGATGATTGTTCTAAAGTTAATATTTATAAAAATAAATACGTATTATATTATAGTAATAAATAGTCAATAAACAATCTTATTTGTTCATAAATTCTATAATAAAGCATATTCAAAACGACTAAAAAGTTATAAATATAAAATAATAAAATATAATATCTTTATTGATTTATAATTATACAGTGAATATGTGAAGTCTCCAATTGCTGAACTAGGAATTATACCTGTAGCTCATGCGTGCGTGCGTGTGTGCATGCATGCGTGTGTGTGCGTCCGCGCGCGTGCGCTTGTACTTATAAGTTGTAAAATGTGTAACCGCCGAACAGTAAGAATTTGACATTTAGTATAGTGTTCTAGTTGGGCATCTATACGACTCTTTCAAGTCGCAAATGTAAGTTTAACGTGTGCCACCCCAATCTCTAATACAAACTAAAATGAATAAATATGTCAAACGAGCACACGGTCCACCTGATTGTAAGTAAATGCAGTGACATATAGACATCCACATTTATTGTTAGTTAAAAATCAAAATGCAGATGCGTTGTCACCCCTTTGTTACCCATTTTTGCCTTTGTTACTTTAGAGCAACCTACCCGTTAATTTTTTTCTTATTTTTATTTAGTAGTATTTCTGGGTTGCTTTGGAAGAAACTGCTATGTAACTATAAGACCGACTTTTGTATAGTTAATCTTTCTTTGGTATAAAAAAAAATTGTATTCAAATTTGACATAAACTTTCCGATTATGTGATTATTGACGAAACTTTACGTAAAAAAAAAAACAATATAAATAAGAACATCCTATCATATTTTCTAACTTCGCTTTGATGTAAACTTAACGGACAACTAAGTAAATTTGATAACACTTACCATGTACCCAGAAAAGTGACCAGCGTTGATACCAACGGTGATTGTTAACATTACCACCGCAATAACCATGTTACCTTCTGGCGCGTATGATAATCCGATTAAGGCCAGAGCAGGGCCCCAATGACCTAAAAGTAAAAAAAAACTTTTTTTATTATTTAACTTCAAAACTATTTGATATAGCTTTGTAGTGGCGGTGTAAGAATATCCACTACCTTTTATAGTGGCGTAAGTGGCGACAGAGATCAATTAAACAGATGAATGTCATCAGCGTATTCACAAGCCTTGGTTGTCGCCCCACCCGCCAAGCATGGCAGCAGTGGCAAATTCCCCCCTATGAGGCAATCTGTGAGAGAGGCCTATGTTAAGAAGTTTTTTTTTAATTTCATTTCTCCCAAATATACAATAAATATTTTAACATTTTCTTTTACCAAACTGCAATACAGTCTACATGGATATTCTTAAAACAAAAAAGAAATAAACTATAATATAATAAGTAACAAATACCTATAGAATTAAATAACTTTCTCGTATTAGTAACGCTGAGCCATTTTCGCTGTATAATGAGGTCTGTCATAGCACCGAATGGGTAACTCAGCAGGTACATTGCTAAGTAGGGAAGAGAAGAAAAAACACCATTCTGCAACAAAGAAAATTTCGTTGATTTCGGTATTTACTCAAAACATAATACATTAATCTATATTAATAAAATTATTCTTTATTCTTTATTCTTTATTGTACACACTATACGTTGGTAACAATTATTATATATTAAATAAAATGTACAAAGGCGAGCTTAACCCTAATAAGAGTTCTCTTCCAGCAAACCTATTGGGAAAGAGAAATAGTTTTATATAAAGCAAGTAGGTAGCAGCGTGCGTACTTAATAATTAACATAACACTAGTTAATAGAAATTTGCTATAAGTAACAGTTAACAATTAACATATAAGTGTATAAAATATAAGTATAATTTATTTTCTTATTTCTATTGATTTACATACATATATAATAAATACAATAAATATATACATATATACTCATACATACATATATAATATATATATATATATATATATATATATATATATATATATATACATATACAATCATATATATAAATACATAATATGTGTAAATATTTGTAATTCTAAGTTGACAGATAATATTTCTTTACTCTGCTCCGAAATATATCAAGAGAAGAGCTAGCACGTATGTCATGTGGAAGTGAGTTCCATAGCTTGACCGCCCTTATAGTAAAGGATCCACCACATCGGCTTGTGAAATGAGAAGGAGTTTTGAGAAGCAGCTGTTTAGTGGTCCGGCACTGAGTTTCACGAGGTACAAGATACTCAAAACGCTCGCGAAGATATGGAGGTGCAAGAGGATTAAAGAGAAGAAAGTAAAGAAATGATAACACATGTAAGTCTCGACGTTTACGGATAGGAAGCCATTTTAATTGAGCTCTGTACTCTGATACATGATCAAACTTACGAAGACCGAAAATAAAACGTATACACAAATTTTGAATGCGTTCCAGTTTGTTCAACAGCTCCTCTGAAGCATCCAAAAAACTAACATCAGCGTAGTCAATGAGAGGAAGAAGAAGTGCTTGAGCTAAGGTTATCTTAGTTTTTAACGGTAAAAACATCTGGAGGCGCTTGAGAGATTGGAAAGAGTAGTTCACTTTTCTGCTAATCATATTTATATGAGCAACCCATGACAAATTATTATCAAAAATAACACCTAAGTTCTTGGCAGTCTCTGTATATGGAATTTGAGTATTATCATACGTTACTGCAGGGATCTTCGAACGATCTAATAAATTAAGCATATATGAGCTGCCGATAATCATTACTTGGGATTTAGCAGGGTTAACAAGAAGACCAAATGATTTTGCCCAACTGCTTATGCTACTTAAGTCAACATTCAGCTTATTAATAGCCTCATCTATATCTTGGACTTTGAAATGACGGTATAATTGCAAATCGTCAGCATAGAGATGATAACGAGAGGAGAGAACAGTAGTGAGAGCATTGATAAAAATAGAGAAGAGAAGTGGGGAAAGAACACCACCCTGAGGAACACCCGTCGTGAGATCGCACCACTCGGAGAAATCCTCCTCATGGCGGACACACTGCGAGCGACCCCTAAGGTAAGAATTAAACCAAGAGATTACTGATGGTGAAATGTTTAAGGACGAAAGAATACCAAGAAGTATGTCATAATCAACGGAATTAAATGCACTGCGGAAATCCAATAATGTTAGGACAGTGAGTAGTCTTTTGTCCATGGCCCAGCGAATATCATCAGACACTTTAATCAGAGCGCTGACTGTGCTATGGCCTGGACGAAAACCAGATTGGAAAGGACTCAGCAAGTTGTGAACAGTTAGGAAATGAGACAGTTGTCTCTGAACTATATTTTCTAGTACTTTAGATAAGATTGGAAGAATAGAAATAGGTCGGAATTGGGATAAAGATGTAGGATTAGAAGTTTTTGGAAGGGGAATGACGAATGCCTTTTTCCAGCAAGTCGGAAAGGAGCTCGTCTCAAGCGAAGAAGAGATAATGTGAGTGATAATAGGGACAAGTTCATTAGTGATAGGTTTAATCATTTGCAAACAAAGATTGTCATAACCGATAGCTTTAGTGGAAATAGATAAAAGGCATTTTTTAATGTCACCATCAGTAACTTTACTAAAATTAAAAGGAGAACACAGCGGCTTAGGAAAATTGGAGAGAAGATTAAGTGTAGTTGACTTAATAGAGTCATCAATAGAAATCGGAGGCTCAGAAAAGTGCCGGTTGAGTGCAGTCAAATCAAACGAGATATTAGAATCATTATGTGATTTGCCTATACCCAGAGTTCTAAGAAATTTCCACATCTGAGCGGAATGAGAATTTTCAACCTCATCATAAATATGTTTCCTCTTAGCATCACGACACATCTTACTACAGCGATTACGTAATTTTTTATATGTGAATAAATTTTCATTAGTAGGGTGCTTCTTATAACGCCTCTTAGCTTTATCTCTTTTGGACATTACTGCTTTTATAGACTCTGAAAGCCAGGGGGCTGGAAAGTGTTTAACCCTGACTCGCTTAAGTGGTGCATGAGTATCGAAAAGTTTTAAAATGAGGTGATTAAAAGCATAAACTTTATCATTAATATCTTCGGAATTTAGAACAGGGGACCAGTCAATATTATTTACATCATCTCGCAAACGCTCCAGGTTAATTGATTTAAAGCTTCTTAGGAGTAAGAATTTCGATTTGCGCCTAGGACGTTGAATTTTATAGGAGAGGAAGATAAGATCGTGGTAAGAGAAAGACGCAGATAGTTGACCATGCGATGCAACCCGCTCAGCATCAGAAACAATAATAAGGTCTAAAAGAGAAGGGGTACTATTAGGCGAATGGTGAGTAGCAGAAAGAGGAAGAATATGTAAATTAAAAGATGACACCAGGGAGAGCAATTTTTTGCTACGAAAATCATTCTTCAACAGGCATGTGTTAAAGTCACCTAAAATAATGGTATTATCATAAAGCGGAGTTAGATTTACAAGTTTTTCTTCCAGAGAAGAAAAATAATTTATATTGCGAGAAGGGGGATAATAGACCCCAAGCAAATTCCTAGAATGATTAATAGTAATTTCAATAAATAAATGTTCAGCAAAATTTGTGTACATATTGGGTGAATGATCAACTAATTTATAAGGAATGTCAGCTCTCAAATAGATTGCCACTCCACCATAACCTTTGCCGACCCTGTCATTACGTATAAGTTGAAAACCAGGGAGACAATACTGTACCGACGGAAGTGCAGGCTTTAGAAAAGTTTCAGAAACAAGTATGGCATCAACATATTTAGAATCAAAGGTTGATAAAAGATCAGCGTAATGAGCATGAATGCTTTGAGCGTTAATATGGACTATATTAAGATTTTTACTATAATTACAGAATACGGCTACTAGTTGATCATGTAAATGAGTGGAATCATCGCTTAAGGCGCTTTTATATGTCTTATCGGAAGAGCTAGAAGAAGAGCAAGAAAAGTAACTATCATCAAATTCCAAAATATCACACATGCTAATCAAAACTATAACAGAAACTAAGCTATAACAAAATCAACAACAAAGATCAAATATATACTTGTATAATGTATAAAAAATAAATATTATATACTTAAGTCTGGATATAATACCTACAATATAAATAATAATATATTATGAAACAGTAATTATATTAAAATTAAAATTAAATTACCAACAATTATGCACTTAAAAAAAAATTTCTTTCATACCTGCCGGCCGTGGCATCGGTAGAATTTTATAATTACATAACTTACTTAAGACTAATTAATATACTAAAAAATATAAAAAAAAAACACAGTCTTACCATCAATAATAAGAAAGACAAATATTATCTACGGATCCTGTCTGGCAAAAAGACTGCTGTCATTATGATTTATTAATCACTAATGTCATTGTGTCACAATAAACAAAATTACGAAGGTAAATTATTATAATATTAGAGATAACTACGAACTACGATGTTACAGTTAACACACAAAATTGAAGAGATGCAACACTATGCAAATGGAGACTACAAAAAATACAAATAAATTGTGGTAATTAAACACTAAGTTAACGTGAAGACACTATCTCTTGCCTGCGGTGCCAGTACGTCGACTTTTGGAAGCTCCAGCTGGGTCCCTGACCGCGGTACTTGTCTTCGACTTCGGCACAGGAGGCTCAACGATTTTATCGAGTTCGATCACCGAGCTAAGGCGATGTCGAACGCCACCGCTACCCAGTACAAAAACAAAGCCTTCACGTGTCCAGCAATTCGATATTCCATATTTCCGTCGAGCTGCCATAAAAGCTTCATGTCGAGTCTTAGTTAAAAACTCCGACAGAGTGATACCAGTCCCCTTCAAACACTTCTTAGCTTGCCAGATCTTGTTCTTCACCTCCAACTCACACAACTTAAACAAGATTGGTCTTGGTTTGTCAGAAGAAGAGGTATGGCCCATGCGATGGCAGCGAGATATATCTTTATCCGAGAAACCAGACAACCTGAAACGGTCAACAAAAGTCTTCACTAATACCTGTACAGTGTCCTCGTTCTTTTCCTCCGGAAGCCCATGAAGTAATAGAATCTTCCGCCGGCTCCGCATCTCCATATTATCCACCTGGTGCATCAACAGGCCTACCTGGTCTTGAAGATTGCGTAGGGCTGTCATGATAAATAATCTGAATGAGGAGAACTCGGATGTTAAATTGGCAATGGAGGCTGAAGGTGCTGCAGCATGAAGCTCACTTTGATAGATGTCCATGTGCTGAGTAAACATCTTCTGGAGTTGTGTTATTGACTCTTGAATGGCATCCATTTTGAAAAAGCTTGTGTAGTGATAATGCAAGAAAATTATGAGACTGATTTTTATTGACTAAGTTTGTAAACAGTAAGGATTTTACTGCCTGGCAGGTATAATGGTTAGTACATTAGTTTCCCATGTAGTAACAACACAATTGTAATGTTTTATATATTAAAAACTTTATTAAATTGGGAGACTTTACTAAAGCAATGTACTTATTGCACCTACCCACACACGAAAAAAGTTAAAATTAAAATTATTGATGTTTGCAATTGTGCGCGCATCACGAAAAAACTATTGGATAGATTTAATTAGGTTTTCTAAGTTTTATTTCTTAGACACTTGGCCATTACAGTTATTAAAGTTTTAAAAAACACCGATTTTTTAAAACTTTAATAACTGTAATGGTGGTTTTTCACACGGTCAAATGGACATCGCTTGCTCTCGCGTTACTAACCCACTTAATTTATATATTTTGCTACAAACGGAGCAACGAATAACATTGTTTACAAATATATTTTGTAAGCAAAGTATATTTTTGAGATGTTTTTCATGTCTTTTCCTTCGCACATACGAAAACTTTGTTAATACATATTCAAGAAACGCAGATGAAGTCGCGGGTATCAGCTAATAATATACATAAATATCAATTTGATAAGTACGAGAATCTATGGGAGAGATCTATGTTCAGCAGTGGATTTGATAGACTCTCTCTCACGTCTGGTAGGTTTTTGGAACAGAAGGAATCCATTGAGCTGACTTATATTTTAAATATCCTTAAAATATTATTTTCGAAGTCAGCCATCGCAGAGTCTGTTTCAACTTGTGCAAATTGTGCAAATGGATCACCAGTTTTCTTACTGATCGGAGCATCAAGGTCGTAGTAGACGGTGCATGCTCTGATATCAAGCCTATCAACGCTGGTGTTCCACAAGGCTGCGTGCTATCACCAACGCTGTTTCTCCTGCATATCAATGATATGTTGCTAACTGGTAGCATTCATTGCTATGCAGACGATAGTACTGGGGATGCCTTATATACCGGCCGTGCCAATATTTCTCGGGAAAACGTCGCCGAGTACCGGGACAAACTTGTGTCTGAAGTCGAGTCTTTGCTTAACAAAGTCTCGCATTGGGGCCGACTAAATCTAGTCCAGTTCAATCCCCAGAAGACACAAGTTTGCGCGTTTACCGCTAAAAAGAACCCCTTTGTCGTATCTCTTCAGTTTCAAGGCACTCCCCTTGCTGCCTCAGCCAGTATCGGAATCCTTGGCGTCGACATATCGAATAGCGTGCAGTTTCGTGGTCACTTGGAAGGGAAGGCCAAATTGACCTCTAAAAAGCTTGGCGTGCTCAGAGAGCGAGACAGTATTTCATGCCCGCACATCGCTTGCAACTTTACAAAGCGCAATTTCGGCCCCACATGGAATACTGTTCTCACCTCTGGGCCGGGGCACCCCAATGCCAGCTCCTTCCACTTGACCGCATCCAGCGCAGAGCGATTCGAATCGTCGACGACCGAGTTCTTTCCGATCGGCTCGATACACTGGCACTACGTAGAGATGTTGCATCTCTTTGCGTATTTTATCGCATCTATCACGGGGAGTGCTCTGAGGAATTGTTCGGACTAATTCCAGCCGCTCAATTTCACTATCGTACATCGCGACGAAACTCGCGTTACCATCCATACCGTCTGGATGATTGGCGGGCCACCACTTTGCGATTGAGAAGAATTTTTCTCCCTCGCACAAATTCTTTGTGGAATCAATTACCACCAGCGAATTTTCCGAACCGATACGACTTAGGAACCTTCAAGAAAAGAGCTTACACCTTTCTAAAAGGCCGGCAACGCATCTGCAATTCCCCTGGTGTTGCGGTTGTTCATGGGCGGCGGTAGTCACTTACCATCAGGTGAGCCGCATGCTCGTTTGCCCCGTATTCTTTAAAAAAACTGATGCGAAGCATCATCAGGTAAAATAGACTATGCGGTTTAGTGGCGAAACACGTGTCGTATTATCAACGGGGGTGTGTCTTTTCTAGTGAAGGGGTGTTGAGAGTAGTGAAGTTGGGATTATTGATGACGGGAATAGTGCTATGCCCGTCATAGTGCACGGAAGTAAGGGAGGGCGGGAGGTGCTGTTCAAACTAGGTATGATCATCATCATTATCATAATTACAGTCCTTCACAACTTCACTGGCCTGCCCAAGGAATGCCACAAAGCACGGTCCCAAGCCACCTGTATTCATTGACTTCCTGCATGTCTTACCAGGTCATCACTCCATCTAGTGGGAGGACGCCCTACACTTCGCCTGCCGGTAAACTCAGAAATGAGGATATGCGCAGTAGAACTAGAGTAACCGAAATAGCTCAAAGAATTAGTTTTCTGAAGTGGCAATGGGCCGGCCATATAGCTCGAAGAACCGACAACCGATGGGGAAGAAAGGTTTTCGAGTGGCAGCCTCGTACCGTTAGGCGAAGTGTAGGGCGACCCCCCACGAGATGGAGTGACGACCTGGTAAGACATGCAGGAAGTCGATGGATGCAGGTGGCTCAGGGCCGTGCCTGGTGGAATTCCTTGGGGGAGGCCTATGTTCAGCAGAGGACTTATGAAAGGCTGTAATGGTGATGATGATGATGATACTGTTTTTCTAAATCTTGCTTTTTACTAGAAGTGTTCTTCCTCGTACAAGCTCTTTGTGGAATCTTTTCCCATTGGCGATCGAGATTACTCCATTTTCTAATGACTTCAAAAAGGAGACGGTACTCAATTCGACCGTATGTTTTTTTATATGTGTGTTACCTTATAACTTTTTACTGGGTGAACCGATTTCTAAGATTCTTTTTTATTTAAAAGCTGGTTCTTCACATATGGTAGATAAATCTTATCAAAGTCTGGCCAATAGTTTTTGAGTTATTCTTAATAATTTATGTTGGAGTCGGTTGTACAAAATTTATAATTTACCCTGGTATTGCGGTTGTTCATGGGCGGCGGTTGACACGTTCCACCAAGTGAGTCGCATGCTCGTTTGCCCGCACTTCTTTTATTTGAAAAGTATGGTGTTGCTTTCAAATAAAATTTGCCTTGATATAATATAATGCATAAAATAATTTACTTGTTTTAAATCCACGCCCAAAACTTTAGCCATGTAGGTTGGCATCTCCGTCATCAACGTAAAGAAGCCCCAATTTTGTCCGCAGTGGGCCACAACTGTCGCCCAAAATGGAAAACACGTGATGATCTTCATCCATGGCGTGGGGTGTTTCTGAAATATAAATATATTTTATATTAAATTTATTTTTTATATTTATAATATTATAAAAAAACTATCTGATGTTTCAACAAAAATGTTTCAACAACTCTGCCTGTGATTCTTAACAGTATGGCTACTTATAATCACTGAACCAGAAGCGAAAAGAGTTACTTTTGATTTTTATTGAATACTAGCGATTCAACCAGGCTTCACACGGTTCATTTCTGGACCACGACTATGTAGTCGTGGCCACCTACCAAGTCCAATTGTCAATATGAACCTTTAAAATTAAACGTTTTAAGTGAAATAAAAAAAATACCAAAATCGGTCCAGAAGTTTGTTAGGAGTTCAGTGACAAGCACGTATATAGATATATATAAAAAGATAGATTTAAATCCATCTTCAGAAAAGAAAATGGCAATACACCGGAACTGCGTATTTATAATATGATTTCGAGCCAATTTTGACACCTATTAATGAAAAACTATTGGAGCTTCACTCTTGTGATTTTGCTGTTGTCTAATAAGAGCCTTATTATCTAACCTTGAATATTCTAGATATTCCAAATTCAATTAATAAACATATTATATTTCTAACCAATTAAAGGTTCGCTAAGGTTGGTAAGACTTAGTGTATTGTAGAACTAAAATCCCGACTTCTGACGCTATTATGTGATATTTTTTTCTTTGAATTCCGTATAATTTTTTGCAAATAAATGTTTTCCATATTACAGTATCCAATATTACAGTTTATAAACCTGTCCCACTGCGGCATCATTAAACTGGTTATTAAGTCACACATTCACATGTCCTTTAAATAAGTTTTCCCTTAGTTTCTCACGATGTTTTCTATCACCGCCGAGCACGTGGTTAATATAACATTACTCGGGAACAGTGTCTTTTTTTTATAGGATAGGGTGACAAACGAGCACACAGTCCACCTGATGGTAAGTAGTTGCTGTGGTCTATAGACATCCACATCTATTTTCGATTATCAAAATGCAGATGCGTTGTCACCCGTGAGGACTAAGATGGAATGCCTCGTTTTCAGTAAAAAGGGGTCTCCGGTTCTCTACACTCACCATACGAAACACAGCAGCGTTAAGCTGCTATTTTACACTGGTTTTCTGTGAGAGCGTGGTCCTTCCCCGGTCGAGCCGACCCATTCGTGCTACAACTATACTACTAATATAGCCGCAGCATGGCTCTACCACGTGAAAAACGTTTACGGCGAGCACTTAATTTCTGAGCTACCACGGCACATATCTTTTTTTTATTCTTTATAGTACTCTTATAAGGGTAACAGACAAGCGTCTAGTAAACCTAATGGTAAGTGGTTATTGTGGCCCATAGATATATCCTCGATTACGAATCAATACGCAGATACGTTTTCATCAGTTAGGACTACGATGGAATACCTTGTTTTCAGTAAAAAGGGTATTCGGTTCACTACACTCAACACAAAAATTTTACGCTGGTATTCTTTGAGAGCGCGGCCCTTTCCTGGTCAAGCCGACTCATTCGTGCTACAACTATAATATAAGGTCTACTACGTGTAATCTTTTACATATTATTTAAGGATTCATTTTCACGAAATCCCAATTTTTTTTGCGAAAAAACACTCTTATTCTCTTTATTCAAATGGCAACAATTAGGCAAAATACTTCTTATCTTTGCGGTACTTACGATAGCGGCATCGAAAAAAATTACTTATGCAAATGTTGAATTTCACAAATGTATCTCGCTTCATCAAAAAATCCTTTTTACGTTCCGTACAAGATAATTCTCATAAGGAATCTCTTCAACGTTAGGAAGCAGTAATGACCTATTTCGCTGTTCCCCTCCATGAATAATTCAGGTGTTGGATATTACACTTGCTAATAGAAGCACGCGCTTCTTGTTTTGCGAGACATCTTTACGAATTATACAAAGTTAAATTAATTAGTTCAAGTATAAAATACAAGGGATGTTGTTTCAATTGATGTTTATCACAGAAGCTTCTCATGTTTACGCGAACACTTATACGGATTTTATTGCGTTTTATTAACTTATTTTATATTCCCAACGTTTCGAGTACCTATTGTTCAGCACTTTTTTGTGACTTACGCTGCCTATGAACAACTGCAACACCAGGACAATTGCAGGTACGTTGCCGACCTTCTCGTTTCTTGAAGGTCCCTAAGTCGTATCAGTTCGGAATCAAATTCGCCGGTGGTAAACGATTCCACAAAGTAGTGCAAATAAGAAAACTCCTAGTAAATAACACAGTGGTATATCGGACTTATTGTAGCGATGTGTGTTGGTGAAATTTGGCGGATGAAATTAATCCGAACCATTGCTTAGAGTGCTTCCCATAGTTAAAGCGAAAGAAAATGCAAGCGAATCTCTTTGTAGCGTATTTTTCATTCATTTCGTTTCTAACACCATCTTTTAACACGTCCAATTTACGCAATAATTTTAAGCTGAAGGTAGCCGTCAAATATCTCAGCCCCCTATGACTACGGGTGATGTAAAGTACACGAAACGAAGGGAATGTAAAATAAATTATTATACACGACAAAATCCGTAAAAATATGTATTGTTAAAATATGTTGAAAGTACTTTAATACTTTTTGGTATACTGAAAGCTAAGCAATGAAACGTTTGTGTATATATTATAAAAGATTTGAATTATTAACTGCCTCGTTGGCTTAGTGTAACTGTTGATCCGTTGGTTGCTCACGAGTCAGACCAAAATCCTTTTTTTATAGTATAAGGTTGGCAAACAAGCACACAGTTCACCTGACGGTAAGTGGTTGCTGTGGCCCATAGACATCTATCCTCTATTACGAATCAAAATGCAGACGCGTTGTCACCCGTGAGATACTATAGAACTAAGATAGAATGCCTCTTTTCCAGTAAAATGAGTCTCCGGTTCTCTACACTCACCATACGAAACACATTATTTTTATTATTGGTTATTAGGTCTCTGTCAAAATATTTTTAATATCAGATATGAATCAGTGTCTGAGTGTCACGAAAAGCACTTAAAAATTCAGCTTACGGATATTACCAATCAATTCTAAAGGAGATTTAAATGTTAAATACAAACTAAATAATTTATGTAAGGAAAAGCGTGATCATTTTGTGATCAAGTTACAAAAAAATAACACTTCAGTTTGCACGCGTTCAAAGATTCGCTAGGTTTTTTTTAAATATATTTTACAAGAATATTTTAGAAAATATTACAAAACAAATGCAAAAACTCACCTTTTGCTTTCCAACTCGTCCCAAAGACGTTTGAATATATTTTAATTCTTCTTGTGAAATTCGTTTCGATTGTTCGGGTGATGCTGATCCAAATATTAAATAAGCAACTGTCCATAAAGCTCCAAGAATACCGTTCGTATAAAATATCGATTTCCATCCCCAAGCAGATGCCAAAAATCCTGACATAATATGCTGAATTGCAACACCAAGTTGAGTTCCTAGAGAAAAAAGTGAATGAAAGAACACTAGTAGCCATTAACCGCTTATTATGTTAAAAAAGATTCCCAAGAATTTTACTAAGCTGTGTACTCGTTTGTCACTGAATTCTTATGAACTCCATTATATAAAAAACAAAAAAAAACTTATGACCTTGAGGTCTTGGATTCAAATCTCGGGTCAGTTTTAATTCAGTTATTGGGTTTTTCCGATAAGAAAATTGGACATTATTATCAACATTTAGTATGCAGAACCTCTCATAATCACTATAAACTAATTATGTACATTATCATCAGCTTTATAGCTTATTAAAAGCCCTCTGCTGAACATGGGCCCCCAAAGAATGCTATAAAGCACGAACCTGAGACACCTGCATCCATTGTACTGCATCTCTTACCAGGTCGTCATCTATCTAGTGGAAGGCCAGCCTACACTTCGCTAGGCGGTCCAAGCCTGCCACTCGAGAAATTTTCTTCCCAATCATTATTTGTCTGTTCTTTGAGTTAATTCGGTTACTCTAGTTCGTACGTAATTAATTTTGAATCTAGTGGAACGCTTAAATTACGAATACGATTAATTTCTTTTTTAAATCAATCCACTGATTTTAGATTATTTTCTCTGATTTTCCAAGTGAATGCGATATGCGTATTTTGCTAGCTAAGCTAAGCGCGCGGTGGATTTAGATGAGCGTTTTTTTTATAGAAGAGGGGGCAAACGAACATTTATGTTGCTGATGAAACTAGTGAGAAGTCGGCGGCAAAAAAAGAGGAGCTTTGAGGGATGGGCTTAGGCTTTGGGACAGGAGGAGGAGGGGAGTAGGAGTTGACCGTAAGGCTTTAACTTTTTTTTATAGGATAAGGGTGACAAGCGAGCACACAGAGTTTGCTGCGGTCCATAGTTTTCTATCCTTGTTTGCGAATCAAAATGCAAATGTGTTGTCAGATGATGACTAAGATGGAATGCCTCTTTTCCAAAAAAAAGGGTCTCCGGTTCCAAGCATTTAGGCGTTAAGTTCCTAGGTGACCATGGCACAGGTGAGTGCACTTACACTCCCGAGACGGTCCAACCTTCGAGCTGCATCAATTGCGGTGAAGAGGAAAACTCAGCGAACTATCGCGGGTGTACTAAAGCTCCGCGGAAGAAACAGCGTGGAGGCAAAAGTCATCCGGATCGGACGCGTAATGCCAGCATGTCTCGCTCTCGGCAGCCTGCTACTAAACCTGCAGTTACTTCGCTGCCCGAAACCCCAACTCAGGCCGTCACCAAACCCGTCCTCGTCGGTGGTAAGGTGGAAATCCTTCCGCGCCAAAACCCAATGATTGGGTCAAGCCTCTGGCAGTTATACATGGTAGAGTCATGCTGCAGCTATATTAATAGTATAGCTGTAGCACGAATGGGTCAGCTCGACCGGGGAAGGACCACGCTCTCACAGAATATCAGCGTAAAATGGCAGCTTAACCCTGCTGTGTTTCGTATGGTGAGTGTAGACACCGGCGACCCTTTTTACTGGAAAAGAGACATTCTATCTTAGTCTTCACGGCTGACAACGCATCTGCATTTTAATTCGCAAACAAAGATAGATGTAGATGTCTATGGGCCACAGCAACCACTTACTATCAGGTGGACTGTTTACTCGTTTGTCACTGTATCCTATAAAAAAAATCGTGTTTATTTCCGTTGAATGGTGCATCTTGTGAATCTCGTTGACTGGTAGATTTTGAGCCTTGAGTTCATTTAAGATGTGCTTTGTTTTTAGGTCTTTGGGGAATCCGTGAACAATAACACGAAGTTTGCGTTCCTTTGGGTGAAAATAAGTTTGGAAGCTCAGTTTTTGAGTCCTCAGGTGAGCAGTTAAGCTGCGGAAGTCTTCAGTCGTCTCGACAAAGATACGGATGCTCTGGCCAGCGTTTCGCACCTTCGGGCAATATATATTCGGGCAATATATCCTTTGCAGTTATCCATTTGGACAGGTTATTACAATGTAAAATAACTCTTGTAAAATAGCATATATGCTGCCTCCGATGGGCACTACAGGAGATGGAATAAAAAGTTCTATACCCTGAAGTACCTCATAAGTGACAGAATTAGCAACAACGTTGGATTGAGAAGCAAACTCGCCTGCACCGTGCGATTATTCGCTAACAAAAGTGTATGTTAATAAGACTTGAACTCACCACCATATATTATACCACTCAAGCGACCTTTTTCTTCTAAGGGTATCCACTGACTGACTAGATGGTGCATTGAGGGGAATAGGAAGGATTGTGTCATTCCTTGAAGTACGCGACAAGCGCAAACGAACTGCCAGCCTCCCTGTTATGGAGTAATTATTAAGTATCAATCACTAATCTCGTAATTTGTGCAGCTTATTTTTGTTTAATCTTCGACCATTTTATTTTTGATGTAAGTTACTTCGCTGTATATACAAAATGTCATTTTGTTGACTGTCTCGTTAGTCTAGTAGTCGTAAAAGCAACTGCTGATCACGAAGGTCCTGGGTTCGAATCCCGAGTCGGACCAAAAAATCAGTTATTGGGTTTTGCTTTCAAGAAATTCTCAGTAGTGCCCGCAGTTAGGAAGTTGGCGATGTATCACCCCGCACCCCAAAAATCACGTAAAGCCGTTGGTCCTGCGCCTGATCTTTCTCAGGTCGTGTCGTTTTACCGTACCATCAGGCCTTGAGAGTGCACCTGTATTTTATTTTGTTATAGGATAAAGATGATAAGAGAGCACACAGTCCATCTAATTGCGAATAGACTTGGGCACAACAATTCTGTCCTGCGCAGTTGGCTGATCTCTGTTGAGATAGACAGCCATAAACGAAATTCGGTCTGCGCTTATTATGTTATTTAACAGTCGCACTGTTCAGACATATATGGTTCAGAGTATATACAATGAACTTAAAATTTTTGTTTTAATACTCTTATCCACACGCCAGGAATATCTTTTGTATCATGTAGACGCCTGCAATTCGGTTCGCCACGTCGTTCATCATGCGTACAGCAAAGGAGTGGAGTAAGTTGCCAGCATCTGTCTTTCCATCCGATCACAGTGTGGGTGTATTCAAGGCAAGAGTGAATAGCCTTTTGTTAAGTGCGCTTCGCCATCTTAGGCTACATCACCACTTACCATCAGGTGGGATCGTAGATAAGCTCTGGCTTAGTAGCTTATTTTAAAAAAAACTTTACCTATTATACAGTCCTACTCCCCTCGGTATAGGACCAAGAACGCTGGCTGCGTTACCTCGCTGAATGGCTATACTTAGCCTTTGAGCCAGAAAAGAACCAGCCTTCTTATCTCCAGCAGCGTCGAAAAGTCACATAAACAGTTCGTTTACGGACTCAACCTCATGTGGACCTCACGGACTGATAGTCTCTTCTGCAAACGGCAGAAATATGTGGTCATATCTCATTGACACACTTGCACCACGTGCTTCGTTTGTTAAATTAGGTATTTATTCCTGCTGCTGTATTTGTTCTGAATAAAACTAAAGTATCAGTAGAAAATTTATAGCTTACCAAATAGGCCACAGTAGGCAGCAACAGTGACAGCAGTGAGTTGACCGAAATTGAGATTGTGACGAGAACTTTTCCACCGAAGCGTTTCGCCAGTTCTCCGGACGGTAACATAAGCATGATATAGCCCCAGAAGAATGAAGATAAAATCGTTGATTGCACGCTGTAGCTCCAGTCAAAGTGCTGTTAAAAGAAATAAGGTATAATTAAATTTCGAAAACTTCAAGGAAATGCTAAAAAATTCAAATTAATGAGTTTTCGCTTAACAAGAATTTTTAGAATTTTCCCCAAATAAAATACTTCAGTAAACGTTGGTAAACGTTGCTACACAGATGTGTTACTTAAAAAGTTTAATGAATGTATTCATTCATTACACCCGTGAAAAGTACTGACAGCACGTTACAATACAACCAAAGCAACAAACATTCCTTTTGGATTTTATTGCTATGAGTACAGGGTATTCCAAATAAGACGTCGTTTACTAACTTCGAATTACGTAGCCTGTTTTTTGATATTCAAGTAATACATACATACATACATATAATCACGCCTCTTTCCCGTAGGGGTAGGCAGAGACCAGTTCTTTCCACTTGCTACGATCCTTACATACTTGTTTTGCTTCGTCCACTTTCATTATTCCCTTCATACATGCTCTACGGTTTAGGGTACTCTTGACCTGGCCTTTTTTCAAGACGTCCCTGATTTGGTCTAGAAATGTCCGCCTAGGTCTACCCCTTCCAACACTTTCATTCACACTCGCCTTATACACTTTTTTCGTCAATCGTTCTTCATTCATTCTCTCGACATGGCCAAACCATCTCAGCATACCTTTCTCAATTTTTGTCACTACATCTTCTTTCAGACCACAACGTTTCCTTACCTCACTATTTCTTAGCCTGTCACTCAGTTTAACTCCTATCATACTTCTTAATGCTCTCATCTCAACTGCATTGCAACATTCAAGTAATGGAGTATAAATAATCAATATCTCGCAAGGAACTAACATTTTGTTCAAGTTACAAAGTCCAAATAATTCGATAATAATCGAACCGACGAATTCGGACCATGATACATATGGGTTAGTAAGTAATTTATAAACTAACATATAAACTTACTAAAATATCTTCTTTTTTTTTATAAAAAACGTTACCCCCACACTAGGATTATCTCCTGTATCGTGGAGGCAGTTTACAAACATAAATTGCACGAGGACAAACATCCAGACCCGGAACAATTATTTGTAGGCCATACAAATACTTACACGTAACATCATTAACACGTTATAACTAAATTTATTCATATACCTCTGCCCACTTCCCACTGCAACAGACCCGCAGCAGTGTCTACATGTCTAGTGCTTCAAGAAAGGGCAGTCTGGTTTCTCCACAATAACTCTCAGGATGCTGTTGGTGCTTCCCCGAAGCCTGCGCATCAGAGATGCTGTTCTTTTTCGCAGAATAGCTTGAAGGCTGGCCGTTACCGCTTCAATAAACATGCCTGACGCACTGCAGAATCTTTGAAGCTCCAACAGCACCCTAAATGCATTATTATATTGCACGCGAAGGACATTGTAGGTCCGCTGCGTATATCTAATCCACATGCTGCACTTGTAGAATGACTGGTAAAATGCCTTGAAAAGATTAATTTTCACTTCTCTCGTACAACGTACAAACCTGCGGGCCAGCATGTTGCACCGGTCTTCGCTCCCTCTCTATATATCATCATCATCAGCTAAATCTTTATTAACTATGTAGCCAAGGTATTTAAATTGGAACACTCTCTTGAGTGCTACACCATAAAGGCAAACCGCAGGAACTGTATTAGGCTTTTTAGTAACCACTCGAAACATCATGAACTTACTCTTCTTTATACTATATAGGAAGACATGAGACACGGCGTATCTTTCACACGGTCTAAACAGATGTATGACTGCATCAATCTAGGGACTCAGCACCACCATATTATGTGGATAACTTTGCTATTTATTATATTATCGTAAGATTGATGTATAGGCTAAAGAGCGCCGGGAAGGTCAGACCACCCTGTCTCACTCCACACTCCAGTCCATACATCTCAGACAATGCACCTGACTATCTGACCTGGTTTATTTGATTATCCGTACCAGAATTGGAAAAGGTTGACCATCTCTTTAAGTATATGACGGCACGTGCACCATTGCACGTGCGGCGGCGTCGGTGTGCTAGACAGAATTCTTGTAAATAACACGTGCTCCGCACACCTGCACCATTGCACCTGCGGTGGCGCTCGTTTAGCTTGTATAAAATGGACGGAGCTGCCGCCGTTAGGACAGTCTTGGCTCTGACGTGTAACTATGCCCTTGTCGTATTACGTTACTAGTTCATCTTCGACTCGTTTGATAGTTAATTCGTGTAAACGAATTAATTATTATTCCTAACTACAAAATCAGTCTCTGTACTATACCCATTATACTTTCTACATATACGTTGACCATAACATCTTATAATTAACCAAGTCAACTAATGCCGGGTTTCTAAATTATTTATAAACGCCTTTTATCATTTGCGAGCCATCTTTCAGTAAATGAAGTGTATGAAAACCCTCTTTTTAAAGAAAATACAGGTTCAACTATTACTTAACTTAACTTATCCTACGTTTTATTACAATGCTGAATGCCTCCTTGATCTAACGTCGGATATCACGACTTTTGATCATGAAGTTCCGTTCGAATCTCGGGTGAGACCAAAAATAGATGTATTTTTGAGCATTTTCTTTAATCCTGTCCTACACAGACGGCTATTCTCTGTTGAGTCTGGCTATCGTGACCAACATTCGGTCTGGAGGACTTTACTATTATTTTTATTGCATAAATGTATAAGTAATGTCAGTAAACAAATGCAATCTGTAGATAATGAAGAGAAACTGTTGTTATCAAAACAACCATTGCCCCTATTACCTCATTATAGATGTCTGTATAATTCCACTGTGAAATTGTAGGAAATTTTATCCATTCAACAAACAATACCGACTAATAAATCTGTCGGAACGACCAGGCTGAGCCCACTATGATACAACAACCGACATTCGACCATTAAACATAAAACATCACAGATAATGCCACGACTTGTCAACGTAACGACTTGTCGTAAACTGTTATCGATACGTCCAACAATAACTTAATAATGCTTTTATTTGGTTATGCTTCCGAGTTTTATAACTTAATTATCTTGATTTTGACGTTTTGCTTTAATTATATATTTAGATATAGTTAATTTTAGCTTGAACTTTCTCATACGGCCAACAGTAAAGGACCACGTCTCAGATCCATAAGACATCACTGACAATACGCACTGGTTGTACAAACTTGTTTTCAAGTTTTGATGTATACCTGACGAAAATATGTGTCATAATTTACAGAACGCTGTGCTGCCTGTGCCTGCTGCTGCATCCTGCATCGTGGAGGTATTTTACAAACATAAATTGCACAAGGAAAATATTTTTAGGCCATACAAATACTAGTTCCGTGCGCGATTTGAACGCGGGGTCTCCAGCCCTGCAACTCATTGCTAAGCCACTGCGCCACGGAGCTGTCGCTTTGGCACACTTAGGCACTACTATCCTGTCCTGCACCGATGGCTAGTCTCCGTTGAGGCTGACCGCCGTGACCGAAATTCAGTCTGGAGGACATTATTATTATAATCAATTTTAATATATCATAAATACGAGTATAATCAATCATTTTTTATACATACTATAAGTTTTGAATTAATTGACAGGTTTTCATGGGCTGCAGCCACTTATCAGATGAACTCCTTTGTCACTTTAATTTTATATAAAAAAAGGATATTCATCACGACGATCTTATTAAGTTGGTTATAATTAATTAGTTAATTTAAACTTATATACACAAAAGAAATTCGTACATGTGGCGGACTTAATGCCTTAAGGCATTCTCTACCAGTCAACTATTAGGCTAAGCTAAATTAATACTTACGTCATCTTTAGTTACATCAGTCATATCTACTATTGCCATACTTATGTTAACTCGCATGTTGTATGCAAGAAGCATAGCAAGGAAGCATAGAAATGTTTGCGCGTGACGAACTCCAAGCTTTTCTGTAAAAAAAGGGGGTAAAGTTTATTTTGCGTGTTTTCTGTTTACAATTTAAGTTCTGATAACAATTTGACATTTTTTTAACAACTGAGTACATAGGTCATCAGGTAAAAATTTAAGGAAATTCATATATTAACTTTGGCCTCTCAATACATTTATGAAAATGTAATGTACGTACACAAAAATAAAAGTAGTTTTATATAAATAAGTGATATTCATTCTGTAAATACTAGGAACAGACACAAACTAGTAGTACCAGGTACTCGACTCCATCGAGTCAGTAATTCATTCTTGGGGCGAAGTATACGCTTTTACAACAAAATTCCAGAAAATATACAAAGTTTGACCTGCTCAAAGTTCAAAAACTTTATTAAACTAACTTTGTATAAAAAGGGTTATTATAATATTAAGGAATTTATGGATGATAATAACCCCTGGAAATGAGGTGATCGCTACCAAGCTATTTCTAATTTGTTGTGTTGTTAATTTGTGTAACATCATGATTGTAAGCTGTTATTTAAAAAAAAATCCCGCTGGGTTTCTTGCTGGTTCTTCCCAGGACAGAGGTTTTTTCCGAACCAGTGGTAATCAAACAAAAGAGTGACTTTCAATAAGTATTATTTATAATCTATATTGAATAAAAAAGTTTCTGTTCTGTTTCTGTTTCTGGTCACCAGGTGCTGTAACCCACAGACATCTACATATTATATCCTCGATTAAGAATCTAAGTTGATAAGCCTCATTTCCTGTCAAGAGGATCTCCGGTTCTCTACACTCACCACATAATGCTTTAAAAGACAGACAAGTTTTTCTAATTTTTACCTTAATAAAATAGAGTAAAGTTTTTGAGTTGTTAAACACTACTGTAAATATTCTTTGCCGTAGTCAGTAATTTTTGTCATAAAGTCGCATCTTAGGACAATCTCAAGCAAAAATATCGGTGGAAGACTTTCGATCGAGAGCGAGATTGAGCATAACGAGCAGCTCCGTAAAAGGTGAGATATGCCTTGTGTCACCAATCACCATTCTGCCTTTCAAACGGAGAGATCAAGGCAAATTCTTCCGATCTATCTCCTCTAGTGAAGAAGAAGAATCAGAGCAAATAATTTATAGATAAGTAAGTAAAGGAAAAATTCAGATTTTTACATTTTCAATAGATGGCCTTGTTTTGAATGGGTCTGTCTTGAAATTCAGTTCTCAACTACGTCACAGTGAGTAAAATGTTTTTAAGTTTTATTTCCAAATATTACATATTATATCTACGTTATGTTCCACTTTATCCCGCTTATGATCAACAGCTATTAAGAAAGACATCTATGGAATAGAAACATAACTCTCCTTCTTTGCAACCTTTTGGAAAACAACTATCCGTAGAAGAATAAAAAGTATAAGTTTTAATAAATTAAAAATATCAATATTTTAATCAAAACTTAGTAGTATTATTCGTCACCAGTACTCGATAAAATTGTAATGTATTTCGATTGTTATAAGTTACGTCTAAATAATTATTTCAGAATACATACTGACATTAATTCCATTATTATGACCTAAATTTAATGTCACTGGTAATAACGGAGATTTCTCGCTAACATTTATCTTCATCATGTTATAAAAAAATCAACTGTTGTGTTGAACACTCGACAATACACTTACAACTTAAGATTACAAACCGAGCAGTAACTTTGCTTCGAATATTTGTTTTCCGTTCGGATAACACAACAATTGTTTCTTTAGAATTAACGTTGCCTTTCATTTAACAACATAACTCTTAATTGATAATTAACTTTTTTAATTAGATTTACAAATTTTTAGCAAACTCTTACAGTTAAATAATTCTTGTTTTTGAGTTTCATAGGAAAGGTTATATTGCGTTTGACTATGATAATCATTATTATTAAAGCTAAGCACAGATTCGTTATCAAATAAATCTAATTATTATATGAGAAGAAAAACCTCACTTTTGACTGTCGAATATAATGAAGGCCTATTAAATGATGTAGAGACAGTAAGGTTGGCTTATTTCAGTTTTATGCACAGTTTTATGTCCCATGGATTATTATTATAGGTGTTAGTTGTTGATATTGAAAACAAATTGTTTATATTACAGATAAGAGTTATTATTCGTGCTATATACAATAAAATACTAAAGAACTTACTTAGATACATTTAAAAAAAATGAATATCCTAGCTGTTATATCACAATTCTTTCATAACAATTTTGAATAATAATATTACTTATGTTATAAACTATTTTAATACTTTTGATGAATACTATTTTTGTCCATAATTTTAACAATAACTCTAAGCTTGTTGTACCAAAGTACAGGCTTCGTAAACACGTTTTTGGATAAATGTATACCTATAATTAAAAAGATTCCCTGTAATATTACTCACTTGCGTTTGCATAAATTACACAAGGTCATTGTGGTTGTAGCATGAATATGTCTCCTCGACCGGGGTAGGACTACGCTCTTACATAATACCAGCGTAAAATAGCAGTTTGATGCTGCTGTATTTTGTATGGTGAGTGTAGAAAACCGGATACCCTTACTAGAAACAAGGCATTCCAACTTAGTTCTCAGGGGTGACAACGCATCTGCATTTTGTTTCTAAATCGAGGATTGTAGATGTCTATGATCCCACACCCACTTACCATCAGTTTGGTTATGTGGTCTTTTGTCACCCTTATTCTATAAAGAATAATTTATTGAAGGAAGTATAACATATTCTTTTTCGTAATTAAAAAATAAGAATGAATAAACATTAATGGCTTCTTTAGACTTTTAATTTGCTAATGTAAATATTTTCTAAGTTAAAAATTTTTCGAGAGAAAAATAATCAACTAGTTTGTTTCTTGCCACTTTTTCTCACAATGTCTCATCGTTGTAGTGCCTGGTTAAAGTAATTTTTATTTCTAAAAAAAAAATTGCTTTTAGAAAGATACTTTTGAATAAAATTTTGATATTTATGAACAATTTAAGCACTATATAGTCAGAGTAATTTTTTATACAAATACATAGCTGATAAATACAAGGTGTCGGCTTTTAAGTAATATATTTATTTTTGCCAACATTAGTACAATAACAAAGCACGTATGATGTAGATGATGTATCACAGTCCAATAAATTTTTTACATGCAACTGTAGACATTTTTGAGGTCGTACATTTACATAATATTATACTTCATGTTCCATTTTTTTTTTATAATTAATATGAATTATGACCACTAAATTATTTATTTAGCTGTTGACTTTTATTACAAGACTTTGGTTTAATTGATACATAAAATTTGCTATTATGAAAATTTCAGTAGAAATTAATCAAACTGATAGAAAATACACAAAAAATGTACTTACTTGGGCGTACATTTTCAGTTTCAGCTATAACACCCATATTTTACTTGTTGTATTGTATTTCTGTATGTATTACTTCAATTGCAATACCACTTGCATTACAACTCCCACTGATGTATTGGTCGCTTGAGTATCCATAAGAAACAAAAAATCCAATTGCAAAAGATATTGAAGCACAAACTGTATTATCATCTGTCATTGTTTAATCTAAAAAGCAATTTTGCAATCGATATCTAAATTTTATTAATACGACTGTCTGTGTGTGTTGTTTTAAATTATAATTTACTACCAGCTCCTTTCGTTGCTTTTAATGTTAAAACTTCGGCCTATAGTCAATTTTAAAATTGTATGTTTGTTTTAATTTAATTTATCAACAAAAGCTAATTATAATAATTATGCAAGTGGAATTGTTTTGACAGTATTATATCAACTGATCACTTTGAATGGATATTGAATGAATGAATAATAATCAAGAAAAATATTTTAAAATGAACAGCAACTCGCTCTTGAAGAAATAATTTGAATGGATTAAAATTAACTATATCTCAATATATGTATAACCCAAGTATATTTAGGGCAATGCGCGAAAAATTGTATAGATTAGCTGTGAAATGATAGCAATATTATAATCTCCATAATAATAATAATAACCATGGTCATCATCATCATCATCATGATCATCGTCGTCGCCATCGTCATCTACATCATCAACCAACACCATTACAATCTATCAAAGTCCACTGCAGATTATTCATATTCTCATAAGGGGGATATTTGTTATATTTGCAACAGTTGGCAACAGCAGTGATTTTTTTATAAGTAAGCTGTTATGTTGTTGTGTTATTTTTTGGTTTGAATAGGTATATATCTGTCATCATAAAACATCTGCTGTTCGTCTCCTATTTCATTTTCCCTCTGTTGCAATTTAACGACACCTAGGACTGTTACGGGCTAAGGGTATTAAAATCACGCGACAATAAAAAAAATACTACGGAAAAATATGATTCCAATAAATGTTTAATTCCCGACGATCAGAAGAAAACTTAATATTAAAAACTTAAGGTAGTCGGGTTAAATATGACATCCGGACGTCAAACACATCAGTCCCCGTCGTGGCCATGGGTGCTGTAAAGCATCTGAAACGTCAAGAATTAAGAAAAGTAAAATTAAAAGTTATAAAATCCGTATTAGTTTCATTTCATTTCCTCACAATGTTTGCGTTCATCGCCGAGCACGTGGTAAACTAGCACTTAATATTGTAATTAACAATTTCATTGGTGTTGGCGGGGATCAAACTCAAGTTGTTCGAGCTTAGTCCTTGAGTTTAAAACCCTAATATAAAGAGCCGTGAAAGCTGGCAAACACTTTATATTAAAGTTAGTCATACCAGTTACTCTACCCCAAAGAATCAGTAATTCATTTATGGGACAATGTCTACCTTAATAAAATTATCTATCAAAAAGTAAAATTTTTATTCAGCAAAATTTCTTAATACTGGTAAAAGTTAAAAAGACTTTCAATACAACATATAATCTATATTGAATAAAAGTTATTATATTCTAAACAAAATATATTCATTCATTCATAACAGCCTAACAAAAGGCAACTGCTGAAGATGCAAATCTCCCTATAGATTGCCTAGAGGAAACAGAGTTGCCAATTCGAATAATCAATTTCGGATCGACATGTCTTAAAACTTAAAAAAAAACGATTCTTAAAAACTATTTCGCTAAAAAAGTAGGTAGGGCGTGCTTCAGAACATTAGTCTTCATCGACTACGACTAAAATCACCAACGAAATCGTGTCAAAGGATACAAAAAAACAATCCCATAATCTTCACCTTACAGATTACCTCAAAGGGTTCTTCCTAGTAAGGCAATATATTATAAGGTGAATTTGTTTGTGATTTTTTTTCTTTTTGAGAGTTAGGGTAGTACCGTGTATATGTGTGACCGTAGTGTTCGCCTACATATAATAATTAAGATCTAAAGATTCATTTCCCGAACTAAACAAATAAACCGTTCCCGAATAAACCATGGTGCTTTCTATAATATTTAATTAATTAAACGTTCTTGAACGAATATCTAAAATAAATGTTTACAAAATGTCTAATAATTAATGTTTTATTATATTTTTTATCGTTATAGTTAGTTTTGAGCAAAAAAAACGATCAGCCCTCTTATCACCAGCAGCAATGACCAATCGCAGATTTTCACCGCACGTGGACCTCAAGGACAGATAGTCTCTACTGCAAATGGCACACATATATTGTCATCCTTTAGAGACTTATATCTCCAATGACTTAGTTCAGCTGCCTCTGATGCCTATCCGGCTTTAAACGAGGTACCAACAGTCTAGATTTACCTCACTCCCAAGGGACCAAAGTCATACCGTCGGGTCTCTTACCATCGTCTCTAAATATTCCACATGACTTTAAAACTGAGGGAAGTAAAACAATTATAAAATTCCTTAAAGCTATGACAGACAGAGCCGCGGATATTCGCTAGTTTTAAGTAAGAAAAAATAGAGTAATCTGATTTTACAGCTCTTCTTATCATATAAATTGCTATTAAATCGAAAGCGTCTTGTATTTCGATAAAACTTGCTGATTATTTTATTGAACGCTGATTTTTTTGAAGGACTTCGGTAATAAATCACTTCTGATGTTATATTGAACATATTTCAATATATCTCCGATATCTGAGAAATCACGTAATCTTTTATCGTGACAATGTGATTGTTATCTTGCTTATTTAGTACACGCAACGAAAAGCTATAATAAAATTAAAATAAATAACAAAAGAAATAGTAAAAACAGATTACAAAAGAATACACAAACACAAAACACTCACGCCTGTCACCCAGAGGGGTAGGCAGAGACTACGGACTTATATTTGGCGCGATCCTGACACACCTCTCTCGCCTCCTTTACATCCATATATCTACGCATACACGCTCGTCGGTTAAGGGTACTCCTAATCTGGCCCATTTTCAATGTATCGCCGATTTGGTCGATAAATCTTGGTCTAGGATGTCCCTTCCTGATTTTGCCGTTCACTTCTGCTTTGTCACTCTTCCCTCGTTCATTCTTTCTACATGACCAAACCACCCAAGCATTCCTTTTTTAATCCTGGTCACAACTTCACCTTGCAAATCACACTTTTCTCTTATCACACTATTTCTCACCCTGTCATTCAGATTCAGCCATAGCATACTCCTTAATGACCGCATTTCTACAGCATTTATTCTACTCTCATGTTTCTTCTCCCAGACCCAACTCCCCTTCTATTTTTATTTCACTAAATTACATTGCAATCACGCTTTTGTTTTATTGACGAGGTAGCAAAAGAGCATACGGCTCACATGATGGTAAGCGTCGATCGACGCCCATGAACACCTGAAACACAAGAGCATTGCCAATATTTTAAAAAGGAGAGCACATTTTTTAAGGAACCTAAGTCGTTTTGGTCCGGAAACATTGCCGGTGGTAAGCAATTGCACGAGAAGGTCATACCAAGAAGATAACTCTTAGTAAAACACACAATGGTGGATCGCCAAGCGTCCAGATGGTGTGGATGTTATTGTGAGTGTAACATTACGCATTGTATATGCCTGGAGAGTCGGATACAACATCTAATTACAATGACTTAACAGCACTAGACCGTAGTGTGCTATTAAAAAAGTTAAGCCTTAATTTAAATAGCGATGATTTATTTTTCTTCGAAGAAATAATTGTTAAAAATTATTTATTTATTTCACATTGGCGAAAAGCCTCACCCTCTAGAGTTCACAATTAAATAAACCAAATTACACAAAATGGAAACCAAAAACTAGTTATAGCTAGGATCGTAATTTTGTAAGCTTGGCTTGATATAAGCCAGATATTGTGCTGATGGACCGGGCACAGTCAAGAATATTTTTAGTCCACATTACCATTTCGTATGAAAAGAACTTCAAGAAAGCCGAAACAGAAAAGCGAACAAAATACCGCCCGCATCGTCCGCCGGTTTCCTTCCATTTCCTTCTAACCTTTGGCCGTTTGGTTGGTTCCATCTGGTTGGCTTTTCAATTATTTACGTAATATTAATGTATTTATTTCACTTTATTTATATATGTATGAGGATATATTTAGAGCGATGCATTCCTCTAAAACCCACTATACGGAGTTAATGGGATACTACAACGCAAAACTTACAAGCAAGAGAGAATGGTGAGCTAAAGTTAGGGAAATTTGGAACAGAGCAACGGAACCCAAGGAGCCAGCAGCTGGCCCACTTCATGGTGAAAGAGGGACTTTTTATGATGAAATATTTCTTCTAGAAGCGGCCCTACAGGATATGGACCTGGTCGAGCTCCGATGGTTGGACAAAAATGAGATTGACTTCCATATGGTGACCAGAGGAAAACAGTTCAGTGATATCCCAGTGATCGCGAGGGTACAAACTGGTAGCGATCACCGAATGGTTAGAGGTACACTGAACTTTTTAATATATTTTTTTATAATATAAAAATTAAGTTGGAGAGGTCTCGTCTAATGAAGTCAACGCTCCGTCCCCCTTGTGCTCTAATATAAAGTCCCGAAACCAATCAGCTCGAGCTACAAAACCATTTTCAATACCTAGAAGATTGTAATGCAGTGGAAAATATGAATGACAAGCTCCTGTAAACTGTCCATGCGGTCGGAGCTAAGTTTTGTAAAACCCGCCGCAGAAGAACATAAAAACTCTCCGATCACACGATATTATAACCACTTGCGTGCGATTTGTAAGATAACTTCCGAAAAAGCCTAACTGTAAACCTCTGACACCCATTTTTTCTTGACTTGACTAAAAAAGTAGAAATAGGAATTGTGTCAAAGGCTTGTGCTAGATCTATAAATATTGTATGGACCTTCTTATGACTATATAAATTACTGACTATAAAATTTATTAACTCATGAACTGCATCAAAAGTTGACTTATTTTTATGAAATCCGAATTGTTGAGGTAAAATTAATTTAAAATATTAAAGATAATGGACTAGTCTATTGTTCTAGAACGT